GATGACAGACAGAATCTAGAGGAAAAAGGAAAAGGCTGCTTGGTAAAGAATAAGTAGCGGAGAAAACACAGCATTCAGGGCCCAGAAGAAAAATTAAAGTGGTCTGGTGAGAGAAGTTATGAATCCAAAGAAGTAATGTCAACATAGACAGCAGTAAGCAACTGCATGGATATAGCAAAAATATTGGAGTACTGAATCAAGACTAACATCCTGTTGTGAGTGCAATTGGTGAGTGATGGGGAGGGCCAGTGACCCTCAGCAACAGGCCTGCAGAAATCTTTGTGGAATCTCTGGATCTACAGTATGATTTTATTACTACAAGAGAGCTATTCCTTTTACAGTGGGAGAGGTATATAACTGATCTGAGGGTCCGAAATTAGTTACTGATCCACCATATAGACTTTGTGGGGATGTGTTTCAGAGGTTTTCCCCAGAAGATAATGACTGGTGGTTGTGATAAGTATTCTTGCATTAACTGATACATCTTTGGACAAAATTACATCTTAAACTATGGAAATTTTAGCACAGAATCAAAAATTAAGTAAAGTACAGGAACATTTGTTACACACAGTTTTCATAGATTCAGAAATTGTAAGGTAAAAGGGACCACTGTGATCATCTAGTCTTCTCATGCATAGTACAGGTCATAGGACTTCAAGTCTAATAGCTGTGGCTGAATTAGAGCATGTCTTTAAGTAGAACTGGTTAGAAAATTTTGCCATTTTGACTAAAACAATTTTTTTTTCATGAAATCATATAAATTTTGACAAAATAAATAATGTAAACTAGAATACCAGAATCACAAGAAATGTTTATGAATGCATCTATGCAGTTCTAAAACAGCAGTCTGAATTAACAGAAATATCAATGGAAGAAATGGTACTACCAGTGTACTGTCTACAAAAAAGTTACTGGAGATAACTGTTACGTGAACTTTGACATATAGGAGATTACCACTGATGCTCACAATTCATCAAACATGCAACAATCCATGAAATAAGTTTTGATCATAATATAATATAATATAAGAGCATATTACTTATGATCTATCACCAGGGTGGGGTGCTCATGAAAAAGAGAATTTACATGACCAAAAAAGAGGGAACCTATAAGTCGCATTCTGTGTGTCCAAAAATGCTGGCCAATATAAGATAGAAAAATTAACTGCTCTTTGGTTACAATGGTACAATTTTCCCATTCAGTTACTACTTAATATAGACACTGGTGCTATAAAGAGTGTCAAAGCAAAGCACAAAATATTGCATAAAGCACAATATCCTACAAAAAGACGATTTGCTGATTCCTCTTAATGAGATATGTTCACTGGATACTGATTATTGTCATTATGAAGACAAAAATGCTTTACCTAGACCAGGGGTCGGCAACATTTGGCATGCAGCTCGCCAGGGTAAGCACCCTGGCGGGCCGGGCCAGTTTAATTACCTGCTGATGCGGCAGGTTCGGCCGATCGTGGCCCCCACTGGCCGCAATTCGCTGTCCCGGGCCAATGGGGGTGGCGGGAAGCGGCGTGGGCGAGGGATGTCAAACTATGGACAGAATATGGACTAGATGTATGGAATTGCAACAGTTTTAGGGAATCTTCTTCTTATAGAGACTAGAGAGTCATCATTTTGAGTCATTTTTTGTTGCAGCAGCCAACATAATCCAAGCAAAATAATTTTAATGACTGTGCTGTGTTTCTGTGCACATCATTGTAACAGCTAGGAAGTGATACCCAGAATAATATCACTTGCTACTTATACATCTGGAGCCCCGGGTGTGATTCCCAGCTCCTGTAGACATACCCCACCTAGCTCTCAGAGCTACTATGCTAAAAATAATAGTGTAGCCAGTAGCACTGGGACCTGGGGCGAGGGCTAACCACAGGGAGTACAAACCAGCCAGGACCCCTTGGGATGTATTGGACATCATTAATCTTTGCTACCGCTGCTACACTACTATAAAGCTAGCTGGATGAGAGCTAGCACTGGTATATCTATGCCAGCTGGGAATCACACCCCTAGCTCCTAGTGCAGATGTAGCCAATACAGACTGGATTGCAATGACATTAATAAAATGTAATGGAAAATATATTATTTGTGAGGTAACTAGTCTTCTAAAAATGAACCAAGAACATTCAAGTTTCCAGATATTGTTCTGATAGCCTTTGAGGATCCTCAATCAGGTTTTTCTCCAATTTTAATTTCTTTGATGGATATTAGACATGGTGTTTTCTGAGAAAGAAATGCCTTAGGCCAAACTTGAACATGAAAATGGTGTTTTGTAAAGGAAACTGCAAGGCCTGGTACCATTGCAGTTGCTTAGAAATTGAGACAACAACAAAAAATCCTCCCCATGGTTATTTCCCCATTTGTGAAAATTAAGAGCAAATCAAGATCAGTCAAATAATACCTGCTCCTCTCACTAATACTTAGTGAGTGGCTGAATATATTTTATGGAGACAGAGATGGATTTAAGGGAAAGGGGTTGACGGAGACTAAACTAAGGGATTTGGCAGAGAGGGAGGGGAAAGTGAAGGGACAGAGGGATATCCAGAAAAATACGGGGCTTGGTTCTCCCCTGCCCTGCAGCTTGTGTCGTTATTTGCACTTATGCAGAGTGAGTGTAAAAGCAGGCATGATAACAGTTTTACATCAGCTCAGCATGCAAGTGTTCATTGTTCGAGATGTCAAAACTGGAAGACAATAAACATCCCATACTCATTTAAGTGACACAAAAATGCGATACTCCTATTTAAAAACACCTTGTTCTGAAGTCTGTGATCACCTTCTTCCAACTCTCATTGTCTTAATTCTGCCCTTCCTTCCTCTGGCTTCTGATCTCCTTCTGACCCGCTTTACATCTCACCCTAAAACTTCCGATCCCTTGTTTCCTGCTCTTCAAAATTCACTTGTTAGGATATGTAAAAATGTTTGATCACGCGTTATATCTTATACTTAAAACTGAACCGTTCAGGGGCAGTTCCATGTCCTTCCGGTGCTCTTTAAACTATGTAGCAAACTTGAGGTGCTATGCAAATAATAAATAATGTTACTTATACTTAGTAATTATTCAAGGACTTACAGTTTTTGTCTAATTGAATTTAAGGTCTTAGATCTGAAGCTTTTTGGCATGTATCATTTCAAATGTGGGTTTATTTACAAGTTCCTGTTATGTTTCACTCGCCTATTAAAAAAATTAAGTTATTAAGCTATAAATGTTGTCATTTAAATCATATTAATAAGCCATCAGCCCTGCTCAATGTGAATTTAAGTAATGCGGAAATGTATTTATAATATGGAAACGGGCAGAGATGTGTAACTTTTCTTTTTATATTAAAACTCTTCTTTGCAGCCTGCTAGGATTGTCCTGACTACCACTCAAACATAATTTCTGTTCATTAATTTCATTTTCTATCTGATAAGAAAATTATGACCTGATCTTGAATGAGAAAAAGGAGATGCACATTGTACAGATATTTGAGCGTGACAAACAGACGCGTGAAACAGCAACACTGTTACCTATATTTAGTCTAAATAATTATCACAAAGTGCTAGAAAGAATTATTTGATCCGAGATGTTTCATAAATAGGGAGAGGTTGCAATAGGGTGTACAAGGACTTGCTGAGTTCCAATTCAGTCTGAGTGGCTGAGAGACAGAGTGGTCTCTATTTAAGCCGTGGACTGTGGGACACTTGGAGGCAGAAATCGGCAGGTAGATCCAGCTTTCTCTTTCCGCCCCGTTCGAGCAATTTGAGCTTGAGTGCGCAGTAGCCCCTGCTGACTGAGGTGGGAGCGAGGCAGGGAGGAGCGACTCATTGGGCTGTGGGTGATTATTGGTGCGCTGACAACAGATCTCTCTCTCTCCCTCCCTGGTGTGCGCGCGCTCGGCAGGCGAGGCATTGCTGGCAGGACAGCAGCCTTCTTCCAGGATGGTCCCTGCTCCTCTCCCTGGACGGACCCAGCTGGCTGCCGCGGAGAAGCGGGATTCAACAGCAGCTCCTGACTTGAGCGCCAAGTGAATGGGGCGCCCCAACAACACAACGCCGGGGCTGCGGCTGGTGCGTACTACACCGTCTCATTGCGGTTGTTGCTACTTTCCACTAGGTCCAGGTCTGCAGAAAAGTTGGTTTCCATTCGAAAAGGAGGGGAAAGTCCCGCATGCCTCTGCGTCCTCGGGCTGCTGTGCAGCCCGGAAAATACATCTTGCGCTGCTTTTCCTAGCCCCCACTTGAAATCTCTGGATGGGTCAGGCTCGAGGGGGACTAAAGAGAGGGGAAAGGTGAAATATAGTGTGCGAGGGGGTTGGGGGGGGGAACTGTAAGGAGGAGGCTCGTGTTAGCAAATGGGGTGGATCTTATTAGTGATTCTCCGAAGGACCAGTGTAACTCCTGTTTGCGAGTGAGCAGAAAGGCGTTGGGAGAAGACAGATGTAAGAAGTAATCTTGCCTTGCCCACCCCAGGACTTCACTTTAGAAGAGAGTCCCTTCCAGCTGCTGTTTGCTAGGCAGATCCCTGTGCGTGAGACGCTTCAATGTTTCCTACGTTTTCACTGATTTCATTTGTGAGAATAACGTGAGCACAAAGAATGAGTAGCTCATGGGGGGCCCACCGGGATTGAAACCGCTAAGGAGCACTTTTGTGTGTTACTTTAGTTCTCAAGTAGCACAATGGTGTTGGGAGTTCATTGCCACTTACATGTTCCCCTGCCTATTGTGTGACTGTGTTATGGTGTTGGACGTTTCTGCTGACTGCGTTCATGGGGGATTATTAGGCAAACCACATGTACCCTGCTTTTGTTTGGGCTTTTTTTTTTTTGTCCTGAAAGAGTAAGGTTGATTGGGGCCCCAGAGATAAAAAGTGAAATGTGCAGTGACAAGTGTTTTGTACAGCAAGGGTCATGAGAGAGCAATAGCATCAGACGGAGTCTGATGACAGCAAATTGGCAATGAGGGGCATGAATTACGCCACAATTGCACTAGGATAACATCTTCCAAGACATGTCTTTAAATTACATCAAGAACTTCTATGAAGGATGTGTGAGTATTAAGTGAATAATGAAAGGAGAGGTGCTGGGGAAATAAATAATTTGCTTTCTTTATCATGACAAATATACATGGGTGGAGATGAAAGTTCTGATAATCAAATATGGAGGAACAGAATAGCATTCTCTGCAAAGGCAGACTTTAAAAACTACATAACCCATGCTTTCCTAACAAAATAAAGATGTAGCACTACTACTCAAAGTAATAGTGCAAACAGGTAACATTTCCTAGCCTAGTTCCTAGCAATGCCACTTTTGAGAAGTCTACATGTTTAATTTCTGACACTAAATATTAAGTGATCTTAGTTTAATCAATAGGATAATAAAAATTGATTGACTCTTTATTGAAGGATTCCTTTTCAATATGCCTAACATGTCTGTAGTTGTAGAATACTGAGTTTTATGAATGTAGCTGATATGTAAAGCCACTACTGAAATCAGAAAAGTGTAGTTGTTAAGCAGAATAACTGACATAATATAAATGAGAGTGTACTAGAAACAGTAAGTAAAATCAGTCCCTAACAATAACAAGGACTTTGATTATATTTCAAGCCACTATTTGGTTTAATGTACACAACACCCTTTGTATAATAGTTATTTTAAAAGGGAGAAAAAGGAGTGAGAAGGGTGTTTTAAAACCTGAAATAAATGTTCTAGGTAACCTGAAACTGGAAGAATAACTTTGTTCATCTTTGCCTTTGTCTTTCCTGCTGCATAATCCTGTGACTGTTACAGCTCAGGCCTCCAACAGTGATTGGTCAGTTCCATACCCTTTTCTTTGGCTCCGTTCGAATGTTTTTCCTTGGTGTTTTGGGCTTTGCAGTTTATGGAAATGAGGCCTTGCACTTCAGCTGTGAGCCAGACAAGAGGGAGGTTAATCTCTTCTGTTACAACCAGTTCAGGCCCATAACTCCTCAGGTAAATTTTCTTTTAATTGAAACAACCAATTATTTAGAAAATAGATAAAGAGTTCATAAAATGAAAGTAAATTCATTTCCCCATTTTACATAAAGAGTAGTAATTAAACAGAATGTGGTGGTAGTTTAAACCAGTGTTTTTCAACAACCAGTCTGTGGACTGGTGCCAGTCCCTGAGATCTCCCTGACACAGTTTAGGAAAGCAGCAAGCCAGTCCCTGGTATCTGTAATAAACTTCCATTTGTGACAAAGTAAGGGGCTGATCTTTTAACCTTTATTCACATGAGCCATCGTTACCCTTGCAAGTAGTCAGACTGATTTCAACTCATGTGAATAAAGGTTGCAGGATCATAAATAGCATTCTCTAACTTGGAAATATTTGTAGACAATAAGGGCCAGATTCTGTAACCCCTTACACATGCAAATCATCCTTGTTCACCTAGATCATTTCAGTAACTATAAAACAAACAGGAAGGTTGGCCTAGTAGATAGGGCATTAGCTTGATACTCGGAAGACCTGTGTTTGATTCCTGGTTCAGCTATAGATTTTCTGTATGACCTTCAGCAGGTCCCCTCATCTGCCTTAGTGCCCCCACCTGTAAAAGAAAAGAGAGATAACATTTAACTTACACTCAGTATGTTATGAGGATAAAATCCCTCAGTGATTGTGAAGCACTCAGGCTGAGATCTGCAAAGGTTTTTAACTTACGCTTACTTCCTGAGTCCCACTGAACTCAGTGGAAGTTAGGAGCCTAAACACCTTTGAAGATCTGGGCCTCATACTTTGGTGATAAGGGCCATATAAGTGTCTATAGCTAGAATTATACAGACAAATAAGGACTACTCATGTGAATAAGGGTATATAGTCCCAAGATTTATTGACTGTAACCTACTTTATTCATACCATTCTTCAAACTGGTGATTGTTCTTATCTTAAATGATCTTTTAATTGTTTTTAATGTATATCATAAATATAAAAAAAATCTTCTCACAAGAAATTTGGATGTGTGCCTGTTTTAACTGGCACAAGGTAGTTGTACATGATCTGACAGCAAAGTCTCTGCTACACTTTAGGTATTCTGGGCATTACAGCTAGTGACGGTTCTGGTACCTGGAGCAGTGTTTCATCTTTATGCTGCATGTAGAAACATCGATCAGGAAGATATCCTCCAAAAGCCCACCTATACTGTTTTTTATATCCTCTCTGTTCTGTTAAGGATTGTCCTTGAAGTTGTGGCTTTTTGGCTTCAGAGTCATCTCTTTGGCTTCCAAGTGAACCCACTCTACAGGTGTGATGCAGGAGCCCTTGACAAAAAGTTTAATATTACCAGATGCATGGTGCCGGAACACTTTGAAAAGACAATTTTCCTCATTGCTATGTACACTTTTACTGTGATTACAGTGGTGTTGTGTGTTGCTGAGATTTTTGAGATCTTATGTAGGAGGCTGGGTTTTTTAAATAATCCGTGACCCTGTTGTCATATTGAACTACTCCTATTTATGTGCCATCTATTCTGACAGTTGTGTGTGTGGTGGGTTTTTTATGTACAATGGAGATCTCAGTGTGAAACAAAGACCACTTTTTGTACACCTCTGCAATTTTGTATAGGAACTTCCCTTACATGAGCTTTTTGTATATTACTGTTGTCAAATACATAACTAAGGGCCAGATCCAAAAGACATTTACTCGTGTGAATAATCCTTACTCACATGTATAGACTGAAGTGAATGAAACTGCACATGTGAATGAATGCCACTTCAATGCCATTTAAAGCAATTTGGTGGGGGATGGGGAGAATTTTTTTTTTTTTTTTTTTTTTTTTTTTTTTTTTTTTTTTTTTTTTTTACACTTGTTGGAACTTGCTACTTAACTGCACACACGCATTTGGAACAAGTTTATTTTTAAATTGAGTGATTATTAATCTGCAGGGGAAAGCCATTCCAAACTACATAAATGCTCTCATGATTAACCTTTGGTTCAGTGAATTTTAATGCTCATGAAGTGAGCTTTAATGCTTAGGTAATGCCTGACATGGTACAAGAAAATGCTCTAAAATGTTCCCAAGCAGCTCTACCATTGCAACCTGATTCCTGAACAACCATATCCCTGGCCTTCACTAAGACTCCTGGTTGTGCTGTGATTTTAGTATGAACCAATGTCTAAACCTAGCTTGCAACAGACAAACCTATTTTATCTGTGTCCAATACTAGATGTAAATTTCCTTTTTAAAACAAAAGCTAGCTTGTGCTTCCTTGAATCCCCCACCCTGCTCATCTTTATATTTAAGATAAAACTTAGTCCCTCTTCCTTTTTTTTTTGTAATGAATCAGAGCTTATATTTATGGCTTATATTTGCTTATGAAGTAAAAGTGTACAGATCCCAAACTTGCCTCAGATGTGTAGCATTTAACAATTCATACATATTCATTATATGGTGAGGCAAGGAACAGGCCCTTTGAGTTAATTTTTGAATAGAAAATTTCAAAGAGCTGTCAAGATGACACTGCTGCTTGTGGGCCCAGTCATGCATTGATTTCAATGAGAGTTTTGCCTGAGTATGGCCTGAAGGACTGGATCTTGTAGTTTTTGTGGTTTTTTTTTTTTTTTTTTTTTTTTTTTGCCGTGCCACTTCTGCTCACCCATGGCACTATATACTACTGTTAAATAAAAATAATCATAAATATTCTGTGCATTAGAAATATTCCCAGCATTAAGTGTATTTGTATAATTTACACTTACTTTTATAGAAAATATATCATATCTTCTCTTGCACTCCAGTTTCCATCGCATAATTAATGGAAATTTTAACATGAAAATTAATCTTCTTTCTTGGAGACTGGACAGAAAGAAAAGGGTAGTTTTCCTTTTAAAATGTTTACAGTTAGAGTACTAATAATCACCTAGGGTTTTTTGTTTGTTGAAGATTTCTTACCCCTCAGTTCTGACTTCTAAAAGTTAAGCTCTTTTGCCTACTTCATCATTGTCCACAGGAGCTAAATAAAAAAAAACCCTCAATTTCATATTCCAGTGTGCCTACTTTCAGTGAAGACTCAACAAGAAAACAAGAGACTTTCTGACACATTCTTTTGAATTAAACTGATCTTAGGTCTCGGTCCAGTGCCCACTGAAGTCCATGGGAGTCCTTCTATTGTCTTCTGTGGGCACTGGATGAGGCTCATAGCGCTGAGAATAAAATGAGGGGGAAAATCTTAATTTATTTAAGAAATTTAACTTATTAAAAAAAGACAAACTAAAAGTTAACAAATAAGAGCAGACAAAAAGTTGCTGTAAAACATACAGGCTAAAGGGTCTTTCAGAGTTAATTTATCTTTGAAAACTCTGTGGGGAATCGGAATACAACTTTTACAGTAAGCTGAAGCCAAATCCTGTTCACTTTATTCATGTGAGTTGTCCCAACAGGCCCAGTTCTGCCAATCTTTTGTAATCGTGACCCACACAGGTAGTCCCAGTGACTTCAAGTGAGTAAAGCATGCAGGATTTGGTCGCTGTTGGACTCATATCAATCCAAACTGTGTACAGGTTACCTAGTTCTATATGGTTTTTTGAGTTGGCTAATGATGAGATCCTAAATTCTAATATATTTTTTTGTACTATAGGTTAATCTTTTGACTCTTCCCATGGAAACAAATGATGTTTTTCTTGTCTTAATATTATAAATGAATGTGGTATCTTTGGTCAAACACACTTAACTAATTATTTATTTGATATTTGGAAATACTACAAGGGTGGAGGGACTGCCCCTGTTTGTTGCTTGCCTAATATAACATGTACTTTGGTCAGTATATACATACTTACTTTTGTTGTATATATCAAATATCCATCCAGCTGTTTTTACATATATACAGGATCTGTTCTTTCCAAATTAAATTTGTAATCTCAGGTACAATAAATCTTTTTATGTATAAAAATACAAAAATACGTGTGACTATTGACAACCCAGTTCATCTGTGTACACGAAATATAGATCAGTAATCACAATTTTGTCAGTGTTTTTTTCCCTAGTGTTTCATATTTCTGTTTAAGTGATGAAATTCAAATGCTTTCCAAATAGACCAGCTGACCTCATGTTAATTACAAATAATAATAATTCCTAGATTCTATATAGCACTTTTCATCAATAGATCTCAAAGTGCTTTGCAAAGGAGAGCTGGACAGTACGAGTATCCCCACTTTAGCAATGGGAAAACTGAGGCAAAGAAAAGTGCTCAAGCAGTCATGCCGCAGAGCCAGAAATAGAACCCAGGTCTTATAAACCACAGGCCATTACCTGGTCTCTAGACCACAGCATCTCCTAGCCTAGGATACTCAAAACTTGGAATTTTAAGAGAAATTTTGAAATCTTGAAATTTGTTTTCATTCCAAAACCAAGCCATTTCTGAAATTTCCTGCAAAACAGAAATTCTGAAAGAAAACTGTATGCAAAATCCATTTTTGAAAAAAAAATTGTATTTTTGTTTCAAAACAAAATTTTGTTTTCATTTTATATTATTTACATTATTTCATTACATGAGGAGAAGTAGTGTAGCATATATGTCATAATATAATAGTCAAAATATTCTATTTTATTTTTTGAAATCATTATGGGAACGTGCTACTTTAACAAGAAAATTAATTGATTGAATACATTTGTACAAATTGTATCATTACAACACAAACAGGAGACACTTTGATCTAGAAAATAAGATTTTTACACCAGCTCTCATTCTAAACACTACATGTACTTTGTTCAACTGCATAAGTTGTTGTATGTAATGCCCTAAGGGTTAACTTGCTTAATAATCCTCCTTCTATAGGATGCAACCCCACACTTCTTAATCAAGAAAAACTCCCATTGAACTAAATCGTAGTTCTGCCTCAGTAAGGAGTGAAGAATTGGGCCCAGAATGCATTTCTCAAGCCATTTTCAAACTCTGTTTTACATAGGCTCGCTCCTCTGTGAAGGTGATTTATGTGGTTTAGAGTTAAGTATAATTATGAAGAATATTCTACCAGAGGCAACAAGTATTTTCTTAATGTAAATGGAAGCAGCAAATGTTGTAGATATACTTTCAGTTGGATATCTGGAGTGCTCCTTTCCCATGCATTAAAATGTAAATACATCTCTGTGTATGAAATGTATTACTGCACAAGAGCTGAGATAAATACTGCACAGAATGAAAAATATGAAGTTCTATCAATAAGCCGGTCCCTATAAAGGTCATACTATAAGCCTGATTCACTCACACTGGTGTAGGGAGGTGTAAACTGCAAAAGCTGTTGCAGCCATGGGAGCATTCACCCTGAAGGGACGACAGACAGTGTACCCACTGCTTTCTATCTGAAGGAGTTCCACTGCAGAGAGACCAGCTTCATAGGAGGCTGGGGCTTTATAGGAGATCTGACTTTGGTCAGTCTTGGCCAGGCTTGAGTTTTCTCCTGGGGTGGAGGTTGTCTGCAATCCCTGATGAATGAACCTTAAATTGCTAGGAGCTCTCAATTATTATGTATTTATAAGGCCTTCGCTGCGTGCCTTCTTCTGGAATTATGAAGTGCTCTCAGGAGGCAACAAAGCAACACTAAGTACCGGGAACACAGGTGAGCATTTTTTGGCATTGCAGTGAGATATGCCTGAAATCCAGAGCCAGGGGAAATCCTATAAATCACCCATACAAAAAAAAACTTTAACTTGCAGGTAAGGCTGCTGAACTGTATTTCCTATCAATATAGTTGCCAAACATTAAGGAGATAATTAGATAAGACAACATTAACATCCACACCAACCACAGCTCATGTGTCTTGCCCAATTATAATGTCCAGCTGCACTCATTGACAATCTCCACAACAAATGCTTTCTATTCTAATATAAAACCACCCACAATGTACACATCCAATTACCCAAACTTATATTCACTTGTACAATCTTTGTTCTAGCCTCAGAATATTTTAGATAGAAACAGAATAGTATAGGCTCTTGCTGAGATTAGAGTTAAGGTTATGGGTTTGAGGAACTGGATATGTGCTTTGAATAACCTGCTCTAGTTTCTCTTCAGATTGTATAAATCATTGATTCCCAAACTGGGAGCACGCCCCCCTGGGAGGGCGTGAGGCTGCCGGGCCCTTGAGCTCCCGGCCGGGGAGGCTAGCCCCTGGCCCCTCCCCTCCTGTCCCCCATCCTCCACAGGTACGCCACCGTGCGGGTAGCAAGGCTTGAGCCCGCTCACCTCCTAGACTTTCCAATAAGACAGCCCTGCCGCTCTGAGCAGCCTGGTAAGGGGACAGGGAGCGGGGGGAGGGGTGATTGGATAAGGGGCAGGAGGTCCTGGGGTGGCAGTCAGGAGATAGGGAGCAGCTGGATGGGGCGGAGGTCCTGTGGTGGTGGTCAGGAGACAGGGAGCAGTTGGCTAGGCGTGGGAGTCCCGGGAGGCCTGTCAGGGGGTGGGGGTGTGGATAGGGGTTGAGGCAGTCAGGAGACAAGGAGCAGGGGGGGTTGGATAGGGAGTGGGGTCCTGGGGAGGCGGTTAGGGGCAGGGGGTCCCGGGAGGGGGCGGTGAGGGGACAAGGATCGGGGGGGGGGGGGGGGGGGATGGGGAAAAAGGGGGGGGGGGGGAGCGTGCGTTCAGTGAGCTCGAAAATTAAAAAGGGGGTGTGATGCTGAAAAGTTTGGGAACCAGTGGTATAAATCTTTATTGAGTGAACTTAATTTCAAATTAACAAAGTTTGGGGTATTTGGTGGGGGGGTGGGAAGAAGGCAGATGAGGGAATTTCCTTGTTTTCTAAAATGAGGAAAAAAAGTTTAAATGGAATTGGCATGTAGGGTTTGAAAGAGTGCAGCCTGCTCTAACAGATGTTATGAGGCACAGCAAGTACAGTTTCCCTTTTGCAGTTCTTTACACATCTGTAGGGCCCTACCAAATTCACAGCCGTGAAAAATACGTCACGGACCATGAAATCTGGTCTTCCCCCATGAAATCTGTATTGTAGAGGGTAAAAGCACACAAAATACTAGATTTCACAGTGAAGACAAGCATTTCTCAAAAGGGGTCCCGACCCAAAAGGGGACTTTTGGCGGGGAGGGTTTGCAGGGTTATTGTAGGGGGGTTGTGGTATTGCCACCCTTACTTCTGCATTGCCTTCAGAGCTCGCTCACCGGAGAGCAGCAGCTGTAGGCTGAGGGCCCAGCTCTGAAGGCAGCAGCATAGGTAAGGGTGACAATACTGTGACCCCCTTACAATATCCTTGCGATCCTCCTCCCCCACCCCCACAATGCCCTTTTGGGTCAGGACCCCTATAGTTACAACACTGTGAAATTTCAGATTTAAATATCTGAAATCATGACATTTATGATTTTTAAAATCCTATGACTGTGAAATTGACCAAAATGGGTCATGAATTTGGTAGGGCCCTACGTATCTGCATATAGTATGTGTGTGTGGAATTATAGCTATATGAGACCTCAGAGGTTAGGTAATGGAGGGAAAGACTTTTATCCATATTGAAAGTGTTAAACAACTTTAAGCATTTAAAGTGTAACCTAAAAAACCACATCCCCTTTCCCTGTTCTCCATGTCTCCCTCTGCCATATCTGTCTGTAACCTTTACAGCCCCGCTATTAACTCCCAGATTTGAGCATCCCCCAACGTCCCACCCCCCTGGTCCTCCAAACCATCAGACCTCCCTTCCCTGACACCCTATATACTTCCTTTTTATTTATACCCTTATCTGAAGCTTCACATCCTTGTCTGTACCTTTATTCCATGCCTCCATTTTCTGCACTAGGGCTTTGTCACCACTGTTACCCCTTTCTAGCTGGAGCAATTAGCCAATATTCGGGGTCTTGCAGGTTGTTTCTATTAGGAGGAGAAATTGATGGACTCAGGTATTTCTTTGATGCAATCTTGTTTATTTCCAAAAACTGTACACAAAGTTCTGTTTTCTGGAACACAATAGGAATCATACAGCAAGAGGCAATTTCCTTGTTCACAATTCCAAGCCTCTTTCCAGACAATACTCTGCCCCAAAAGCTCTCTCTTGGCTTTCTCTCATGGTCATGCTACAAATTATTCTCTTGCTTTCTACTTCTCTGGCTGTTTTTTTTACATACACACACCAATCCCCAGCCCCGGCATTTGCATTCAGTCTAGTCTTTGGGCAATGACTTTCATTGTTCCAATTATCACTAAATGGGCATTTAACAGTTCCTTCATGTACCCTGTATATAAGGCAGCTAGTAGGCCCAGCAGTTACAATGAGGTGATGACATCATGTAATTGCCCATATATCAAATACATGTTTGCTGGGGTCCACCCAACCTCCAGCATAATACCACAATGCCCCAGTCCGCTAACAACTTTCTAGCCTATCCAGTCCCCCATCCACTCCATCATATTCAATCCCCTCCATCCTCCCATGTCCTGACTCAAGACACATTTAAGCATGTATTTTTTTTTTACATTTTTAACCATTTAAAAATAAATGGGGAAAAATCCATTCAAATGTGCAATAGGGGAGATGACTGAAGGGGGTTGTAGAGTGCAGAGGTTCTCCAGGAAAAGTGCCCACGGTACAGTGAATTACAAACTCCATTTCTTAAGCAGCTTTGCATCCAAGTTTCCCTTTGCCCCTGTCCTCTCCCACCATATCCAAATAAGAGATGGCAGAGAGGACGCATGAAGGCTTGAAGGAAAAGTTTCCAAAGAAGCGTAGCTTGTAGGTCCACTAGGGATGCACTGTCCCAGGCTGGTGAATCTGCTAGTTTTCCATAGTAAGGTTTGCTAAATCAAAACTGTTCTGAATAAAGGTAACTGAGCACCCACTGTTATTTTTCTGTGGGTGCTCCAGCCCCAGAGCACCCACAGAGTCACCACCTATGTCTGACAGGGGAATCAACACAGTGGAGGAGGCCACAATTTTTGTCTCCGCCTTTGATAAGAACACGCCTGCAGCGGCTACACTACCGACCACTTGCCCGGCCAAGAGCAGCCCTAGGCGATTTCTAAAGCTCCCGGATCAAGGGACGGTCGTGTCAGCGCTGGGCTTCGAACACGGCTCGCCCACCAGGCAGGCGCGCGCTGCACAAGGCCACTTCGCCCCGCGGGTGGCGGCCCCTCGCCTCACTTTCCCCCGCCGCTCACCAGGGGTCGCTGCTGCAGGAGCGAGGCACCTCTCTCTCCCGCCCGCCCGCCTCGGCCAGCGGCTGTCACTGCACCGGAAGCGGAAGTGGGCCGCGGGGGTCGGGCTTGGTGCTAGTTGTTGTTGCTAGTGCTGCCGCCGAGGGTCCGGTCTGGGGCGTCATGGCGGCCACGGCCCTTCCTCCGCTGCCGGAGCAGTTCAAGAGCCTCCAGCATCATTTGCGAACCGGGCAGGAGCTGGACAAGCGGGAGCCGGTGGTGGCGTATTACTGTGAGTGAGGCTGCAACGGCCACGAGAGCCCCGCCCCCCACTCACCGACCGGTCCCCCCGCCCCCCACCACCCCCGGACCCATACCCCCCCGCCCCCCCCCCCCCCCCCCCCCCCCCAAAGGGAAGGCCCTTTTTCTAGGGGGGGGGGGGGGGTGGAGTTAAGAATCACAGCGCAATAGCTGTTCATTAGCGTTGTCATAAATAGTTTTGTTCCACGACTAAATTTGTCCATCTTTAATCCGGTGCCATAAATTAATGTTTGTTCCAAACTCAGCGTTGCCTTTAATTAAGGGAGCACCTATTTTGGGTCGTCCCCCTCCCCCCAACCCTCAGTGATTAATGCCCAAGCCTCAACGTCTAGCAAAACACCGCCCAGTGTCCCCACCCTCGCCTCACTATATTAAATGGGCCACCTTAGAAGTTGGAATAATTTTAATAAGGGGTTTTAAAAAAATCAGTGATGGACGTTTTCAAATGCCTCTTTGAAATATAAAAGTAGACTCATAAAATGGAGAAACAGACTAGATTCAGGTATCAGAGGGGTAGCCGTGTTAGTCTGGATCTGTAAAAAGCAACAGAGGGTCCTGTGGCACCTTTAAGACTAACAGATGTGTTGGAGCATAAGCTTTCGTGGGTGAATACCCACTTCGTCAGATGCATGTAATGGAAATGGACTAGATTCAGGAGAGCTTGGTTCTGTTCCCAGCTCTGCTGCTGATTTGTCTGGCCTTCAGCAGTTCACTTTCCCCATCTTTTGAGACAGATGTTTGTGTATACGTCAGATATTTAAAATCTTCATTTGTTATTGTTTGAAATTTCCTCTTTCTAAGGGCAGGTCTACACTACAGCCCAATCTAATTTACGTTGCTCAGGTTACATGAATGCAAGTTTTGTGCTGTCCACACTGGCGCTACGTTGGCGGAAGATGCTCTCCTGCCAACATAGCTTATGTTTCTCGCCGAAATATATGCTGACGGGAGAGTGCTCCAGTGGCACAATTGCATCCATGTAGCTGTGCTTATGCAGCACTGTACTGTAGAATGGCCCTCACTCATTTTCAGCAGGGAGGAAATCATATTTTCTTAGGGCTTGTCTACACTACAGACACTACAGCAGCACAGCAACAGCGCTGCAGCCGTACTGCACTAGTGTAGATCCTTGCTACAATGTCAGAAGGGTTTTTTTCGTTGCTGTAGTTAATCTGCCCCTTCGAGAGGCAGTAGTAGTTGACAGAAGAATTCTTCCATTGATTTAGCGGTCTCTATATTGGGGCTTAGGCTGGCCTAACTACATCTCTCTGGGGTGTTAATTATTCACATTGCTGAGCAACATAGCTAGGCCAACCTAAGTTTTAGGTGTAGAGCATGCCCTACTGTTTCTCTCTCTTGAATGACTTATTCTTCTCCTTTGAGCTAATTTTATCCGGTGGTAACTTAATGGCGTTGCAGTAGTACAGGGGTAGGCAACCTATGGCACGTGTGCCGAAGGCGGCACGCGAGCTGATTTTCAGTGGCACTCACACTGCCTGGGTCCTGGCCACTGGTCTGGGGGGGCTCTGCATTTTAATTTAATTTTAAATGAAGCTTCTTAAACATTTGTAAAATCTTATTTACTTTACATACAACAATAGTTTAGTTATATATTATAGACTTATAGAAAGAGACCTTCTAAAAACATTAAAATGTATTACTGGCACGCGAAACCTTAAATTAGAGTGAATAAATGAAGACTTAGCACACCACTTTTGAAAGGTTGCCGACCCCTGCAGTAGTATATTTTCAGAAAGGAGTAAATGGGGAAAGGAGCTTTTTAACCAATGATTTAATAAAGTACTTCTTTGTATACAGAGGTGAACTGAAAATGCAGACTTGCAATGTTTTGAAAAACATAGGCAACTCAGCGGCACAAGAATGATCCTAGTCTTTATTTCCTGCAAACAAATAATATGCTAATACAGTACTAGAATATCAACAAGTTGAATAAGGCATCTGTAAAATAACAGGAAAACTGGATGTTTGTAATAATTGCTGGATGGTTCTAGTAAAACAACACAAAGTCATCTTGTGTGTGAAAGGAAGCACTAGCTCGCTCCTGAAGTTCTTTTTTGTTATCAGATGTAACACAATGTCTAACTACGTCGTACAAATAATAGAGTTTCATGTAAGCAAGTAAGTGCAGGTTTTTGTTCTGATGAAACTAAATGCAGAAATGTTTGATGACTAACCAATACTAATTTCTCTTGTTTTCTTGATTTATATATTTGTTCTGAAATCTAATATAAGTTCTCAAGAGTATGTAGGAAAAGACTAACTTTTTATCACATCTTAATATGTTGTGATAGTTGAGTGTATTTTGTGATATTTGAACTTCAGTGAATAAGTACTTAAGGGAGAGGAGATAAAGTGCCAATTAGCTTTATATCATTTATGGTACATCCCTGCTTGAGCTTTAAATTAGTGTAGGTGGCCTTGACTTTTCCATCTGGCCACTTAAGTGTGCTTACTGTGTTATTGAACATAGCAGAAAAATATGTTCCAGTGACATAATGTTTCTCATTACATTACAACTTAAAGTAAAAAGTGATGACATTTTGTTTTCAAAACCAAACACTGTTTAGATTCTGAATCCTTTTAAATGTCACTGAGCAAAAGAATCAGTCGTCACTGAAATCATTTAGAAACTTTAAGTAGTGTTTCATACAAATAGACAACTATATTGTATGGTTCCAATCCTGCAACTTCTGGTGTGCTGGAGAGCCCCGTTGAACTCCATGTTGGTGGGATTCCATGCAAGGACAAGGAGTTGCAGGATAGAGGAGATAGGCTTTGATCCTGAAAATGTGTATTTAACTTTACTATGATGACTACTCCCATTGACGTCTTGTGACTCAAGGTAGTAAAATTAAGCACGTTCATGAGTGTTGGCGGTGCCAGGGCCTAAGGACATTTCTGCACATTTTTTAGCAGTAAAATTGTCAGTAGTGACCACTCCTTGATATTACTGCTATATGTAACTTCCTGCTGTTCCCTTCCTCGCCCCCCTCTATTTCAACAGATAGTGGGTGTTAAGTCTGTGTTATGAACAGACCTTGGTACTTGAATTGGTAGTCAGATTTTTTACCTCTAAGTAATACACTTTGCTTCTTGATTTTAGGTTAACATATTGTTTGTCTCACAAAAATAGCAAACAGAAAATTTTAAATAGAAAGATATACATTTAGAAGTGTTTGTTAGACTATAATAGTTTTTAAAGATTACACGTTGGGCTTAAACTACTTTTATTTTAAACTGTGTATTGTAAAATACTTTTTTTTGAGCATTTCCTTTTCTAGGCTGTATTAAATAGTTTGTGTTAATCATATGGCAAGATCTTCTCAATGGTGCTTGTTCAGTGCCTAGCTGTTTCCACACCCCACTAATGATCAGATTTAGTATGTAGTAATGTCTAGAAGAAAAGTTATATAGCTCCACTAGAGAAAAGGGCACAGGTGATTAATGGTGAACAAGGTGGAATTCTTTCTTCATTAAGTAATATGGGTGGAGGTTAGATTGTTTAATAGAGTTGCATGACTTATTCAAGGGATGTCATTTTCTAAACACAAGGAGGCAAACTCTGATAATAAATCTCTGGCCTGTTCAATACCTAAAGAAAAAGTTGTCCCCAAGTAATATCAAAGACAGTCTGACTGGAAAATAAACTTGCAAAATAACCGTGTTTGAGAGATAATTACTTGTTTCTGTAACATGTCCACGTCTGTTGTAGAGGTTTGATGAAGGAAACTTCTTCAATACTGATTTTTGTCAACCTTTCACTCTTGGCTCTTTTCAAATTAGCCTGTACATTTTCAAGAGTATATTTATTAACTGAATTGTGTTCTTTTTACTTACTGTAGCTCTAATTTAAAGGTATTGATAGCTGTGCAGGTGTACTGAAAGCAACACTATTGTCCCTGAATCTTTTCAACACTCTATAGTACATACATAAATCATATTTCCATATCCAGTAAAGGCAGTATAAAATAGTATAAGTGATATAATCAGCATGCTCCAGCAATTTCTAAGAAGCAGAGATATAGGGCCTGATTCTGATAACACAGTGATATAAATCTGAAGTATCTCTGTTGAAATCATTGGACTAACTGGTGTAAAATATGTGTGAAAATAATTTGATCACTAGATTTTTTTTCAGATCTCCCTTCTCCCTCTCCCATCATCTTCGAATTAATCTTTTGGTCGGATGACAGTTGAAAAAGTCCTTACTCAGCATGTGCATTAGTGATTTTCCTGAAATTCAAGGGAAGAAAACACATACAAGATTTCAAGTTGCCTACTTCTCCCAGTACTCTAGCTGGCCATTGTTTGATTGAAAAGCTGAGTGAAACAGAGGAAAAAGCCCCTGGCCAACATTTTTCAGCGGTTAAATGGGGCTTTTCTCACTTGGGGGACTTTGGGGAATAATAAAATGTTGACAGACATGACCTTTTCTACCTGCAGTAGATCCAATGTCTTTTTTTTTTTTTTTTGTAACAAGAGATAAAGAACAAGGAAGTGCTGCTTGGCCTTCTTGTCTTTCTAAGGCTGAGGTCTCTGCAGTGTATTGCAGTTCTATATGGTTCATTCTGTTTAGCATTACCGAGCTATTTCTGTCTGCTTATTTTATACAGCAGCTACAGTGTAGACCCTCTCACCCTCACCTATATTTGACATGATATGTTGCTTAATGAAAACCTACTTTGTGTTTTTCAAAATTAACACCAACTAAAATCTCAAGTTACAGTAAAGTGTTAGCATTAGTGGTAAATTTAAGCTTGGATATTATTAAGGCACAGAAATAATTATAGACAGCAAGAAATATTTTTCCCATTCCACTTGGTTATAGTTGCAGAAACAACGTTCTACTGTAACTTGATGCATTTTTGCTTATTAGGAAAATATTGAATAACCATTTAATCTTACTTGAAGCAGTATATAACTAAATGGTATTAGATCTTTCCACTGGAA